CGCGTCACCTGGTGGCCGTCGTTCTCGATGCCGGCCAGGAAGATGGTGGATCCCACGAAGAGGCAGATGCAGAGGTGCAGGTGGATGGTGGTGCGCGAGCCCTGGATGGGCCGCACCAGCAGGAAGGTGAAGATGCACAGCAGCAGGCAGACGAGCGACAGCGTCAGCCCCACCTTGGTGATCAGGGCCAGGCTCGCGTCCTGGAGCAGGGCGGGTGGGCAGGGTGCCATCAGGGCCCCGGGCCTCCTGCCCTTCTTTGGGGTCCCTCTGTTCCAGCGCTCTGAGGGGACGCCCTGATCTCCTTCCTGGCCCCTCCTGCACCTGGCCCCCCCGTCCGCTGATGTGGCCCGGGCTCTCTCACTTCTGGGCTTGCTGGGCCTTTGGCCCGGTCTCCTGTGCCCAACCGTCCCCCAAGGCCACAGTCTAATTCCACTTTCCGACAGGGCCCTGCTTAACTCTGGATCCCACCAAAGCCGCATGCAGAAAGCTGTGCTCCCCCGGAAAGCTCTGCAAGGGAGAGCTCTTGCCCATCTTTCACGACTGGTGCAGGGCATGGGGTTGTAGAGACAGGGTCTACGGCAGAGGCTGGGGGTCTTGCACGGGGCCGCCGGCTGTGCAACCAGACAGACATATTTGAGCGGCCATTGAGGGTGCACTACAGAGACCCCGCTGACTGGTTGCATAAGCTGAACTTGCGGGCTGCCCTCAAAGCCCTTGAGGTGCCCCGGCTGCTCACCTTCACGTCGTAGTGCGCCACAAGGATGGCAAAGCTGCTCAGGTGGTTGCATTGGCAGGTGGTGCTGCCATTCTGGCTGCCCCGCTTCCAGCAGCCCTTGGTGGCCCAGTGTCCACTCCCATTCTTGTCACGCTTCCAGAAGGCACAGACCAGCTCCTGGGAAGGCACATGTGTCTCCGCCTGTGGGTGGTTTCAGGGGTTGGCCTGGAGCTCACTCCAGGTTGCTGGGCTCACATTGGGGTTCAGGAGGGCTGCTTTTCACTGGGTGGGTATTTACTGAGCACCTACTCTGGGTACTGGGTTTGGGGACACAGCAGTGAACAAGGCAGACACAAGTCCCTGCCCTTGTGAGGCCGACATCGATAAATCATAAACCTAGTAAACAAGTAACCTAGAGAGTGCGTCAGAAGGTAATTGGTGCCAGACACAGTGGCTTACACCTGTATGCCTATAATCCCAGCACTTTGGGAAGCTGAGGTGGGAGGATTGCTTCAGTCCAGGAGTTCAAGACCAACCTGGACAACAACAAAGCGAGATCTCTTTTCTACAAAAAAAAAAAAAAGGAAAATTAACCAGGCATGGTGGCACATGCCTGTAGTCTTAGCAACTTGGGAGGCTGAGGCAGAGGGATTGAGGCTGCAGTGAGCTATGATCGCACCACTGCACTCCAGCCTGGGCAACAGAGTGAGGACCACCCCAACTCAAAAAAAAAAAAAAAAAAAAAAAAAAAAAAGGTAATTGGTGCTCTGGGGAAAAAAATGACACGGCACAGGTGGAAGTGGGGATTGGGTACAGATTGTCTTTTTTTTTTTTTTTTTTTTTTT